CCCGCGGAGGCCGAGGAGCGCTCGCTGCAGCACATGCTGCGCGCCATCGCGGAGGAGCGCGGCCGCCTGAGCCTGCGGCGCGAGGTCTGCGGCCTCGGTGAGTGGGGCGGGCGGATCCCCGGCCCCCGTGTCGCCTCCCCCCTCGTGCCCGCGTCTCTGCGCCTGTCCCTGCGTGACCACCTCCCTGGGTGGCCCAGGCCGTCCCTGCGCGTCCTGTGCCCGTCTGTCGCCCCCGTGTCCGCGCGTCGGGGTCTTTCCTGCTTCCCCGTCTGAGCTGGGGTCCCCTGCCCCTGCGTCTTGGCGTCTCTGCCTGCTTCCCGGGTGCTCGCTGTCTCCCTCTGCGCGTCCGGAGGTCTGCCCCTCAGTCCCATCCTCTCCCTCCTTCCGCTCTGGGTTTTCTCCAGGAAGACCTGGGGCCTCCGCGCCGCTGCAGGGCGTGCGCGTGTGCGATCCCGGCAGGGCAGCCCCGGGACCTCCCCGCTCGAGCTCGGTCACGTCCCCGGCTGACACCGAGGCAGGGCCGCGGCTCGTCTGCAGCCTTTGTCTTTCTGCACCTGCCGGGTGCGCTCATTCATCAGCTCTGCTAGGGACCTGTTGGGCCTCGGTGCCCCGAACCCACCTGCCTGGCACAGGGCTCGCGGCTGGCGGCCTCCCCGGATGTGACTGTGGTGTAAGGTGGTCCGGTCTCCCTCTACTGGGTGCAGGGGCTGGGGGCGCCTCATTGTCTGAAAGGGCCTGGGACTGCAGGTGTGGGTGGGGTCTTCCGGCCCGCCTGGTTATGAGGTAATTCATTACCGATGGATCTGCCCAGACCCGAGCTAGAGGAGCCCGCCCCCCTGGAGCCTGGAGCTTGTCATTTTCTCAGTGAAAAGAGCCCTCCCTTCTGTATGCAGGGAATGACTTCATTCCACGCGGGCCCTCAGCAGTCCCCCACCCCTGCCCCCAGTCTAGGCTGGAGATATCTGAGGGGGCGACAGACGACCTTCCAGGTTCTTCCATTGCCCCCACCGCACTGTGGACACTAAGTCCCAAAGAGGAACTGGCTCCCCCCACCCCCACCCAAGGTCACAAAGCTGCAGGGACCTGGCAGACCTAAGCACCCAGGGTCCCTCACCAGGCCACGCCCTGGAGGCGTCCTGAGGGGAAGAGATAAATGTAAATCCTCCTTTTTGTGGGAAGCAGGCTGAGCACAAGATGCTTTTCTGGGTGGGGGGAGGCACCTCCCAGCTGGGGCAGGGGTGGCCCAGGCAGCTTCTCATGCAGGGAGGGATGGGAACAGAAGTTTCATCTCTGAAAAGGTGTCTGGACATAGTTTTGAGCAGAAATTGGAGGATCCTTGTTAATTTCATTCAGCAAACATTTATTGAACATCTACTGTGTGCCAGCCAGGCAGGCCCACCTGTCACCTGGCACAGAATGTCTGAACTGGGAGGGGTCTTGGAGACCATCTGCTCCCAGCCCTTTACTCAAGTGCTCAGCTACAGCAGCAGCCCCTCCCCCATGCCCCTGCACACCCATTCTGTCCTCTGATCACTGATCACCTTGACCAGTGGGCATCTTTTGACCCCAGTACACAGTCCTCAATCCCAGGGACCCTTCAGGGCCACCCCTCAGGAGCAGTGAGGAAGGCACCCAGCATTTATGGGCATGTATACTACGGGCCAGATGCCTTGTGCGTGCTGTCTCAATTTAGCCCTGACACAATGCTGCCTTTGCCAAGTGGGAATGTAATCTGGGTATCACTGACAGGAGCCTTGCCGGGCCCAGCTGATGGATCCCTGGTTAGTCCTACCCCACAGCCCCCATACGCCATTTGCGCATGCTGGTTTCTCTGCAGGAGAGCCCCCCCTCTCACTTGTCCCATGAGCAATGAACGCTGCAAGCGTTCCTTTCATTCTCAGCCCAGGCGCTGCTGGGATCCTTGCTGTCCTTCCACACTGGATGATCGGGACAGCTGGCACCACAGCGGCCTGTGTGGCTGTTCCCCAGTTAGCAAGTGAGCTCCTGGAGGGTGTTGCCAGTCTGGAGTCTCCTCCGTGTTTTCATGGAGTGCATACAGAGCAGGTGCCCAAGAGGCATTCGGGGTAAATGACAGAATTTCTGAGCTGGCAAGTGAAGGGTGCCGGTGGCCCAGGACAGCGGATTCTTGCCTGCTTAGAAGGGCCCATCTCTTTCATTTTTCCTGGGAAAAATTGATGTTCAGACAGGGCTATGACCACAGTAGAGTTGGGGCCCGATGGATGGCCCAAACATTCAAATGCAGGCGCCTGGAATACTTGCCAGGGCACTGTACCCCACTGTTGGGGTCCCTGCACCTTTTCAGCATGTGGAGTCAGGTTTTATTTTTTGTTTTTTTCCTCTTTCCTGTTACCCCCTGTTGGGTTACATTTTATCATCCCCAGTTTACAGCTGGGACAGCCTGTTAGATTCATGAATGAATTTGGGGGGGCCTGGGATTGAACCCAGGACCTCATGCATGCTAGCTAAGTATGTGCCCTAATTCCGAGCTCCACCCCTCACCATTATGAATGGATTTAGAGCTCCCAGAGTTTTGGTGGTGGTGTTTAATTAAAGCTTAGGTTACTCACAACTGTGCTGTGTCCTCTGAGCTTGTTTTGGAGGTGTCAAGGGAGCCGTGGACAAGCTGTTGTCATCTCTGAGTCAGTGTCTGTCTACAAGATGAAGCCCAAGTCCTTGCGAGGTTCTCATGGTGAAAGGCCCTTTGTAGAGACAAACCTGACTTTTAAAGAAGCCGAAGCAGGAGGATTGAAAGTTCAAGCCCACTCTAGGCAACTTAGCAAGACTGTCTCAAAATTAAAAAAGTGAAAAGGGCAGGGAATGTAGCTCAGCGTGAAGGCCCTGGGTTCAATTTCCAGTACTACAGAAACACACACAGATGAAACAAAAGCCCTAAAAACTGACTTGAGTCATGTCTGCAGATGCTGTTATATGAGTCACATCTGTTCAGCAGAAACGTGCTTTGAGCACTGGCTCTGTGCCAGTCGGGGTTGACCCTGGTCCCTGCTTGGTAGATGGGCAACATCTGGGGAGAGAAACCAGGTGCACAGGAGACTTGAACTGGAGCGAAATTTCTGCTAGAAGCAGTTAGGGCTGCTGTGCCTGAGCCTAACCCTGTGCCGCACCTGCCCCTTGCCCAGCCCCAGGACCACCTGAGTCAGGGCAGGCCCTGTGTGCCTCGCCAGCCCTCTGCCCTTTCATTGGGCATGGGTGACCGAGCATCATGGGTATGGAGGAGTCTTGGTGGGAGATGTGCATCCCTGGGCAAGCTGCAGCCCAGGCCTCTGTGTCCTGTCTGTAGAGCAGACAGACCCTAGGGATGTGGGAATGGCACAGAGAAGTAGCAGGTAGGAAATCCGTGGCAGCCCCAGGCAGAGTTGGTGCAGTTTGAGCTGCCGCCGCCCTCATGGTCCAGGAGACAGAACATCTGGCTCAGCATCTGCACACAGAATTATGGTTGTACTTGTGCCCTGCAGTTCAGACTACTTTGCAGTCAGTGAGAACGCTGTCCCCCCATTGCTGGGGCTGCTAGTGGCCCCCACCCGAAGGCAGGCAGAGCTGCAAGCCAATGGGTGGGGAGGAAGTGTGGCGTTTGCAGGGTAGCGGGGCCGCCTTCGGGTTTCTGGGCCTATTTTAAGGCCTGTGGATTCCGGCCCCTACCTGTTCCTAGGGCTGAATCAGCCCGGAGGTTCTGCTGAGGGAGACCCTGCCTCCTTTATGGGCACCTTAGGACTCTGGGGCTCGCACTCTAAACAGACGGAGCCTCGGCTTCAGTGTGTCCTTGCAGTCAGCCACCAGGCAGCACTGGGCCTGGCTTGGGTGAGTCATTTTTTCCCTCCGGGCAGGCTCCTGAGGGTCAGCTAAGCCTTGAGGCCACCAAAGAGAAGCCTGAGCTGGACACTTGCTAAGAAACATCCTCAAAATCCCTAGGCAAAAATTGTTTTCCACTTCAAAAGGTTATACACACGACGGAACTTGGAAAACAGAAGATAGAGGGGAAAATTACCCATATCTCCAGTTGTGCAGACACCCTTGTGAACGTGAAGTCTTGCCTTCCAGCCTTCCCAAAGACTTTCTTAACATACTTGACACAAGCCTGTAATCCTAGCACTCAGGAAGCTGCAGCAGGAGGAGCGCCCTGAATCTGAGGCCAGACTGGGTTCCATAATGAGTTCAAGACCAACCTGGACCACATAGTGAGACCCAGTCTCAAAAACAAAAAACAAAAACATAATATTCTCTATCTATAAGATGCCTTAATCTTGCTTCTTCACTTAGAATTCCTAAAGCAGTTCCCATGTTGTTCAAATGCCAAACATACTTAAGAGCCTACATGTCGGTCGAGTGGCTGTGCCATAATTTATTTAATTAACTTCATGTTGCTGGAAACTTAGCTTGGATCCAATTTTTCACCACTATAAACAACTTGTAACAAGCCTCTTTCTGAGTGAAAAGGTTTTTGTACTCGGCTGGCACTGGGAGGCTGCTGTTGGACCCCAGGGGCAAGGTGGGACCCTAGGTGGTGGGCGTGTGCAGACCGGGCTTAGGGGAGACATAGTAAATGTCAGGTATAGAGCAGGAGGGAAGATGAGCCAGGAGGGGAGCAGTGAGCTTCTCAGCACGGGATCTCCAAGAGCTGAGAAAGGATCCAGCATCCGTTGAGACACTGGGCTAGGCACCTGCTGGTCTGTGATTCCCCAGATGGTCTTATCCCAGAGTTCTCCACCCATGCTTCAGGCCCACCCCTGCTTCTGGAGGCGGAGGCCCCTTGGTTCCCCACCCAAGAACATCGAGGCTGAGAGCTGCACCTCTGAGCACAGGCCAGGCTGGCTGCCCACCTGCTCCTCACCTGCCCCTGTTCCACCTGCACCTGCACATGTCCCCCACCTCGCCTCACCTGCACCTATGCCCTCACTTGCTCCCCACCTGCTCCCTGCCTACACTTCATCTGTACCTGCTCCCCCGCCTGCACCTGCTCCCCCGCCTGCACCTGCTCCCTACCTGTAGCTGCTTCTACCCGCACCTGCCCCTCCACCTGCATTAGTTCTGCACCTGGACCTGATCCTCACTTGCACCTCT